TAAAAAAAAATGTACAACCTCCAAGTTGCAAAACTGTAGCGCTTCTTTTTCACATATTTTTTCTGTTATACTGTGTTTATTGCATTACTGCCTTGATGCCACAGTGCGGATAATATGTCTGGCCCGCTTTTTTGAGTTTTTTTTTTCACCCTCCCCTCCGCTGCCTTCAAATTTACCTTTTCGGATTTTTTTGAGGACCCTTTGGCCTTGTATCCTCCCTCGGAGTCCTTATTAAAGTCCTCCTTCTTCTGCTTATCGTCGTTGATGGAAGTGTATATCTTCTGTATGGTGTCCAGCTTAATGCTGTTAATAATGATAGTGATGGAGACCCTTAAAAAAGAAACCACGTCTAATTCGAGGTTCTTGTCAAAGTTAAGGGAAGACAAAATGATATGGATGATGTTTTTATTCAGATAGAGCTTGTTGCAAGAGTCCAGAACATTTTTGCAGTCGAATATGTGTATCTTCTTCTTCCCCTTGAGGTTATGTTTGACTAATTCTTCGCACAAGTACTTCTGCAGCATCTTGGCGTTCCGCTCGAAAATGCTGTTTCGGATGCCTTCGAATCTGCGGAGAAGTTATGCGGCGTAGTAAAAATCACGTGTGCCCACATTTTGGTGAGTTTCCTTTTGAAGGGGATGACTTCCCCACTACGGCCACTTCCTCACCTGAGGCGCAGCACCATCTCGCGCACGTTCCTGTAGTACACATAGTTGTCATCGTTGTAGGAGAGAACGCGGAGCAGCAGTTTGTACTCCTGCCTGGACATAATATGCTCGTTTTGCAGCAGAACCTTTTTCAACTGGGAACGGTGGATAAACCCACTGTCTGACAAATCATATTTTCTGAATTCTTGTAAAAACGTTTCATACATGAAATTCAGTTCGTTCTCGTAGCATGCAAATATTAGCTGTTTGTAGAGAAGCAAGCTGTCCAAAGGGATGGTCTCAAAGTGCTCCCGATTCCTTTTCAGCTCATATAAGTACGTTGCCATGGCATGTAAGTAATTATTATAGCACACACATCCGTTGTCCTCTTCCTCCGCAAAAGATATGTACAGTAAAAAATCGTAGTAATTATCGGTGTAGATATAAGCGTAAAACTCATTCTCTTCATCGAAAAGGAAACACTCACAATTCGTTGGGACACTTTTGAAATCATAAAAAATGTTACTTCCATTGAACATATTATTTTTGTAAATGCTAATATCTTTGATTAGGTCTACTTCTTTATTGTTAACGCTGAAGAGGTTCACCAGTTTTTTTTTATCATTTGTACTTTTGGCCTTTTTGGTAGTCCCTTTTTTGCTTCCCTTGGGAATATTTGGCGTATCGGAAAATTCCCCCTTGGAACTGTCCTCCGTGCTGGTGCTCACCTCTTCATTTGATTCGTAAAACAGGTAGCTCTCCGGGGGAAACTCGTTTGGCTCCGGTTTGTTCTCCCCTCTTGCGTGGCTCTTCAAACGCCGGTGGCTCACGCACATCTTGTGGTTCACCATTTTTAGTATCTCCACGTAGTGCTCCTGTTTCAGTTTTCCTTAAGGGGAAGGTCAGCAAGTGAGGAGGTTAAGAGGTTAAGAAGTTAAGCGGTTAAGAAGTTAAGCGGTTAAGAAGTTAAGCGGTTAAGAAGTTAAGCGGTTAAGAAGTTAAGCGGTTAAGAGATTAAGAAGTTAACAAGTGAAGGCGTCAAGACGTCACAAAGTCATGAAGTCCCGGGGTGTCAAAACTAAGCGATACCCCAAACCGCGTCGTGCCACATTGCTTGCCGCTCATCACACGGGGGTAACTGATGAACGGCTCAACAGGGGATAAACAGGAGCAGTATGCTTCCCCCATTTTTGGTCGTACCTTTCTTCTTAATGTCCACATCGGCGAAGTAAAAGGCCAAGTTGAACTTCAGAAACGAGAGAGCTTCATTTAGTTTTTCATTGTCTACATTTTTTCCGCTTCCTCTTGCTAACTCGGAACTCCCATGATCTATGTTCAAATCCGCTTTGGAGCTTATTTTGTCTAATTCCAAGGTCTCATCAAAGAAGGTTTTTTTGTGCAACAACTTATCCGCTTTTACGAATGTTTTTTTCTTCTCTCGGAATTCCTTTTCTTCTTCCTTTCTCTTTCGAGCCGCTTCCTGTTCGTTTTTGATTTTTTGCAAAATTGCCTCGATGCTCTCCTCATCGGCGGGTTTGATGAACCTAGTTCGCATGAACCTGTGCAGAGGTCAAAGCCGGAGGCGCGGCGTCGGAGGTGTTAAAACAGGGGGAATATAGCCGCAACCGGCAAGAAACAGCAAGTAACGAATGATAAGCAAATGCCTAATTTTTTCCTGCCGCATAATGGCGTTATATAGACGCCAATATTTGTTCTTTTTGGTAACTCGGATGAAAGGTCAAGATTGTTCCTAAGTTTCTCTTTATCCTTGATAAGCCTGGTAGAGGAAAAAAAAGGGTGTTTTTTTTTTTTTTGTTTGGTTTATACCGATTACAACTGCGTGAACGCAGAAATGGAACACCCTTTACTTAATAGGACCCTTCCATCGGGAGGGTATATTCCTTTAGGACGACGTTGCCAAAATGTGGAGCTGCATATTTGTTTTTTCACCCTCCCAGGTCGAAGCAGCTGCGTTATCTTAACAGATTGGTCAAGTTTTTTCTCCACTTTTTCTTTCTTGACTTTTTTGTTTTTTTCTTTTTTGTCTTTTCTCTTTTTTTCTCCTTTTTTTTTCTTTTCCGTTTTATTTTCCCCTTTCCCTACTTGTCAATCCAGGCTTCGCAATTTAGACCCATGTCCACCGTCCTTACTAAATTTTCATTTTCAAATTTGAACGTCACGAAATACTTGTCGGCAATTGGGGGCTCTCCCCCAAAGTTGCTCATGCCAATAGGTCCCACTTCAGTTATGGTGAATTCCGCATTCACCGTGCATTTGGCGATGGATTCGTTTTCATTTTGGTGGTAAAAGGTGACCTTATAGCTGCGTTATGTTTATACCATGGGGGGAAGTTGCAAAAAAAAAGGAAACAAAAAAAAAAAAAAAAAAAAAAACAGATAAATATATAAGCAGCGTAGTAAAGACAAATCCACGTGGCCCATCTCGTTTGACACTTTTTTGGGCTAAGACTGTGTGTGGGATAACTCAGCCCTTACTAGTGTTCCCTCTTTTCTTCGTCTTTCCCCTTGACGAGTATCCTGTAGTGATACCTGCGTTGATGTTCGTAAGTGGACGGGCACAGTGGGTACCTATGTGTGAATTGCCTTATGTGGCTACCTAGGCATGGGGATATAAATCTACATATGCCTCTAAGCATGTGTGAGCTCTGGCCCTTCGGCAGTTAGTTTACTTGCTCGTCCACTGCTTCAATATGCCGACCAGAAACTCAATCGTTTCCTCCATCCCTGAATTTGTTCCTCTTTTGAGTGAGAGCCTTTCCGATGGCGAAATAGCTCACTTTGCAGTAGAGGCCCTTGGACAAATAGGCATCAATCACCGTTCTTACCTTCTGTGCTATGGTTCACTTTTGAATTTCCACAACGGGCGAATTTGGTATGCCCTCACGTGGGAAGTTATTTCGCTAAAATGAGGACAACTGGGGTTTGCGGGGCGTTTTTTTTTTTTTCGCAGTTCGGTTACATAACTGCGTAGGTAATTTTTTTTTTTCTCTCTTCCCCGCGTGGCCCTGTCTATGTTAAAATTTCAATTTGAGGTGTTTCCCCCCCTCAGTTTGGACAAAAAAGTTAACTTCAATTTGGCGCATGATAGAGGCGCAAGGAAAGGATGTTCACCATGGATGCGCATGGTGGGTACATTTTTGTGCCATTTTTGCGCTGTTTTTTCCCCATTTTTTTTGGCATTTTTTCGAATTTTCCCAGTGCTCGTGTGCAGCGAGGGTGTATAGTGTCTCCTTTGGGCGGAGGCATAATCGGCGGGAACTTCCCTATCACAGAGGCGAAAGTGAGGGCCATTTGGGGCGAAGTGGGAAAACGAAAGTTTCTTTTTTATTAAAAACGCGGGAACAAGGTTTGTACCGATCGTTCGACAAAAAGGAACAAGTGGAAAGCCAAAGCGGGGAAGCTAACACAGAAAAACTAAAACGAGAAGACTAAAACGAAAAAACAAAAACAGAAAGACTAGAACGGAAAAACTAAAACGGAAAAACTAAAACAGAAAGACTAAAACGGAAAAACTAAAACAGAAAGACTAAAACGGAAAAACTAAAACAGAAAGACTAAAACGGAAAAACTAAAACGGAAAAACTAAAACGGAAAAGCTAAAGACACACAGGTGATCCACAGAGAGGTGATCCACAGAGAGGTGATCCACAAAGGTGATATCACGAAGGGGATGCCACAAGGGAGATGATACAAAACTGCTCTGTGAGAGGAAAAAATTAAAACTTAAAAAATACACCTCAGAACAACAACAAAAAAAAAAGGTTGCCACTTGGTAAGGAAGCTTACACGCGTGTCCTAATGCGCATGCATACCGATGGAACTTCCCTCACATGTGCTAAGTGGCGTCCACCCCCTATTTCCAGAAAAATGGGGGAAAAAAAAGAAAACAAAAAAAAACGGAAGCTGAACAAAAAAAGGTAATACAAAAGAATAAGTAGTGGCTATCGTGTACGTATTTATAAAATCTTCCAATCCAGAGTAGCAACATCTTAACAGTGTGAAACAGTTTAGCCTTCGTGGAGATGAATTATCGACTGGTACAAACTATCGTTGCCCCTTTCTCCAGAGGTATTATCTAGGCACTAATCCTGACTGATTAAATGATCCTCTACATAGATACACTTGTTTTTTCTTTATTAATTCATGAATAAACAGAATTTTTCCGAAGACACCAACTTGAGAGGCCGTTTTGAAAAGTGGGACACACACATGCGCGATGAATGCGTATGGAAAGACCTACGCATATACAAAAATTACGCTACATGGTATTTGCGGCACAGTATATATGTTTCTACCTACTTCTGCACACTGAGCCGGATTTCTACTTTTTTTTCTACACCTGCTTGACTCCGGGAAAACCCCCCTTGGTAAATTGCATAGAGTCCATAAAACTTTTATAGCTATTATTCTCCAAGCTATTCTTTAGGGACTCTTTGATGACCTTCTGATCATAGTCGTTAAACTTGAGCCAGTCTGAACAGATGTCTATGTCTTGTATGTACTTTTTGCCTAACTGGACCCCTGGAATTTTCATTAATTGTTCTATGAGCAGATTACTTTCATCAATGGTGGGATGCGCGGTAGGCATGTCATTCGAGGGGGTTCCCTTATGGTATGCGTTTAAAAAGTTGGGCATCACGGAAACGTTTCCGTCCTTTTTGTGTAGGGGCACGGCTTCTTTGGTGAAACTTTGGGGGTTCCACAGGTTCGCTGGGTTGGAGTGGTTTGCCGATCCGTTGTGCTGAGCGTACTGCGTGGAGCTGTTCGGAGGCAAGTGTACCCCGTTATTTGGCATGCACGTGGCACCGCTCTGTGGCGCGTAGTTCACCCCGCCGGGTTGCATATAATTGACCCCTCTTTGAGGCGCATTGCCTCCCCATCCCTGGCTGGAAGATTTCAATGCGCAGTTTTCATGCATAGAAGCAGTCTTGAGTACGCAGTTTCTGTTCAGCCTCTCCTGGGACGTGTGCAAATTGAAGGTACTCATTGGGACATTTCTGTTCCTCTTCTCCTGCAGGGAGGTTAGCTTTTCTTTAAAAAAGTGATAATTGTTGTCCTCGTGTCCCATGTTCTGCTTGCCTATCAACGTATTGTTACTCAGATGTATAGAACCCATTCCCTTGAGAACCGGTTCTGCTTCGACAAAGGGGTTAATAAATGTCCTCCTGCCATTACTGTGCTGTTCCATTTTGCTGAGCTCATTACTGACGCCTGCTTTCCTGAAGTGGTACCCTGTTTGGTTCATTTGTTCACTCCTAAAAACACACCTGTTGTCGTTCGTCAAGGGAATGTGTTGCTTTGCATTCACGTCGCACATATTGAGGAGGAAGTCCTTTTCCATCTCTACTGAATTTTCCACTTTCTTTTGATGCTCTTGAAATTTGGATACAGACATGGGGTTGTGTAAGGTACTGTTTCGCTTTTGGAATGGGAAAAGGGATTCCACGCTGGGTTGGTTATGGTGCACGAAGTGGGAATTCGTTTTTTTCGTGCCCATCAGTAGGAGTGTTCCGTTTGGAGCGAATGCCTCGTACGATAACCGCGCTGCGTGATACGCGGGGGTTGCGGAACCCCCTCGAGAATTGTAATTTGTCTTATGTGATCCCTGCACAGTTCTGACACTCCTGTTGGGTGCAAATGCAACATTGCTACCTGTTTGCACTTCACCGTTCGAAATTTCGCTGTAACATTTGGTGCCACTTATGCCCCCGTTTGTGCCATTCTTCCAGTTTGGAATTCCGCTTGGATGGTTCAGGTGGGCAGTCGCGTAGTTCCTCAGATGGGCAATAGCGTGGTTACTCGTCCGGTTATTCAAAGGGGCTCCTCCCTGCACGCGACCAATCCCTCCACTGGCGGCGCCCAACACGTGGGTCTTTCTAGTATACATGCTGTTGACCCGTTTCTTTCCCCCGTCTTTCGCTTTCATTTTGCACAAGTAGTTTCTGACGTTGTCAATGGTGTTATCGCTGCTCTTATCGCCGTTCCTATCGCCGTCCTTATCTTCGTCGGTGTGTTTGTGCTCACCTGGCTTGTTGGTTGAGTCCGTAGCCGAGGCCTCTCTTTCTCCCTCCTCCGTTTCTGCGCTGCCACCGTTCGGTTTTGCAATTCCCCTGTTTTGATCTGCTTCTTTCACGCGTTCCTGGACACTTTCCTGCGTCTGACTAGCCTCGCCTAACTGATTCCCCTCCTCATCATTCGCGCTCTCCTTCCCCGATGCGCATTTGCTTTGGAAAAAATTTAGCTGTCCCATGAAGCTGCTGACGATGTTTCCGCCCTTTTTACTATCGCAGAGGTAGTTGCTATTCGCGTTGGTGAAACAGCTCTCATAGCTGTGTGTGTTCCTATGCACCTCCTTGGTGTTACTGTCTTTTGCTTTGTTGCCCCCTTCCTTGAGTTGGCCATTTTTGTCCTGTTTCCCCTCATCGGTGGCGTTGCAGAAAGGCACGCTTTCATTAGTGGTAGTACATCTAACCGATTTACTATTTAGGAGAGTAAAATTTTTAATTTTATTTGTCACAATTTCGGTAAATCTGTTGTATGCTGACTTGGTTTCGATTGCTTTTTTCTCATTCTTTTCGATTCCTTTCTTGTCATTAGTTTGGATCTCTTTCTTGTCATCCGTTTCGACCCCTTTCTTTTCATTCGTTTGGATCCCTTTCTTCGCACTTGCTTCATCCCCTGGGGAAAGCTTCTTTTCGTTGAACCCCTTTCCCAAGTTTATTAAAATTTTCAAATTGGCTACCTTCTTAAAGTTGGTTACGTTTTTCAAATTGCTCTCCAAATTGTTTGAGTTGGCTACATCCTGGTTGTCTTCTTTTTTGTCCCCCTGATTTATGTGCACGGAGTTGTCATTGCTCTTGGCGCTAGGATATCTGCTCGCGTGTGTAGAACTCTGTGCATGCAGGAAGCCATTATTTGTGTCGTTAAAGCTGTTCATATTTCTCCTAAAGCCTGAGTACACATTGGGGTTTATCGTTCTGTTGTATCCAGTGCTGTAGCCACTGCTGTACCTTTTGTCGGTAAAGGGGGTTTGCCTTCGAAAGTGGTTCATGTTGCTGTTGCGTTTGCTTTCCATAAGTTTGGATTGTAAGCCCGAGGGATTCCTTTCCGCGGGGGTAGCGTGGTTAGTGGGATTAGTGACGTTAATGGGATTGCCGCTTTTCTCTTTGAGGGGGTCATTCTCGCTGCGGTCGAACCTCTCGCCATCATTGCTATCTTTGCTTTCCTTTTTAAGTTGGTTCATCTGTCCTGTCGGGGTCACCCCGAGGGCATGCTTTTCATCCGCTTGTGCCAAATTAACCTTAGGCTTTTCAAGCAGCGTGTCACCTTTCGAAACTCCGATTTGTGTTTTTTGGTGCCCCCACAGTTGGTTGCTTCCTTTGGTGAGGTCTGCCACGGGGATGTTGGCTGAATTAGTTTTATCCTGAGGAAGCCTCACACCAGCCACCGTTTCTGCGACTTTCCCAGTTTGGGTAGGCAGATTACCATTTCTGTTTTTTACTTGGGCCAACATTCCGCTGTAATTATAAAGAAAATCGTAGCTGTGATTCTCGGCAGTCATCTCCTTCCTCGCGACAGAACTTTTGCCCTGTTCTTCCCTCCACAAATAATTTTCCGATTTCATTTGGCGCACTGGGTGGAGTCCTCCTAAGGGGGACTTCCCCATTCGCATTTTATAAGTGTCGTTAAAGTTTGGAAGGTTCATCATGGACGCCCTGTCTTTTGTTTGAACCTCATAGGGAGCCATGCCCTTTGGTACCTTTGCCCTCCCATAGACGCTGTTCACGAGTCCACTGTTCATGAGTGCACTGTTCACGCTGACGCTGTGCATGTGGGCACTGCTCAGGCTGGGTACTCGGGGCTGCCCCTCCTTTTGCGGACACATGATGTGGGGGGCGGCTTTACTTTGCTGCACCAAGTGTGCGTTCGCGAAAGCCGCGGTAGTTCCAACCACACCTGATACTGCTCCTCCTCCTGTGCTTGCGGCGCTGGTGGAACCGTACCTCTTCATATAACTCTTAACGGCCTGTATGTTGTCGTCCTTGTTATACTTAGGATAGTTAAAATTGACGGTTGCCCCGGAGTCCACTTTGTTATCTTTTCCCTGGTCCACATTTTCCCTTTTAATGCTGAAGTTATTCGTCCAGGAAATTTTTCTTTTCCCCTTAATTTCCTCTGCAGCCTTTTGGCTGTTTTCACCCCTCTTACTGGTTCCCACCTTTTTAACATCAACGGGTGTTTTTTCTTCTATAGTTTTGGACATTGTCGCCGTTTTCTTCTGCCTGAAGTTTTTTGCTAAATCATTTTTTTTCTTTCCGTCGGTTAGATCGCTGGATTTTCTCTCATCCGCTGTTTCTCCTTTGTTCGTTTTTTTCGTTTTTTTCGTTTTATTCATTTTTTTACTTTTTTCATTCTCTTCCTCACTTTTGGCTATTCCTTTTGTGTCTTCCTGTTTTTCACGGATGTTCTTAACCATGGAGTCCTTCAGTTTGGCGTTTTTGCACACGGTGGGATTCGGGTCCGTCTGCGTAACGTTCGTGTTGGATTTCTTGACACTGGGATTACCTCCTCCAGTGTTTCCGCTGACCATGTTGCTGCCGCTCATACGGCTGCTACCGCTGCAGGGAGCCAACTCCTTGAGGAAGGGCGTCCCGAACCCTTTGCTCTTCCGTTTTGCAGAGGGAGTCAAAGGTTTTGTCGCGCCATCGTTACCTGCGTCTTCCTTCTTGGTGTTCTTTATTTCGCCCATTATAATGTCCTTTGTCAAATTACGAGTGTTGTTCTCTGCATCTATGAACTTCATTCCTGATATGATATCCCCCCCTTCGTCGATCATGGGGGAATCACTCCCTCCCGCTTTCGTGTGTGCCAAAGCATTTTTCCCCGCATCCGTGGCGGGAGTGCTGTTGAGCTTCGTTTGATGGTCACGGGAAGTGTTGCCCTCTGCGGAGGTGTTTCCCTTTATGTCTATACCTACTGCGGAGCTTACGCTTTCGCCCAGCACTTCTCCAGCTTTTTCTGCAGATGGGTCGCAAACTCTCTCTTCCGCTTCCCCCCCCTGCGTGTGACGCGTGGCGCTCATCTGCGAGAGGATCTCATTCTTGTGAACCAAAATCTTCTGACTGGTTAAGTAACACGATATAATATCCCTCAAGCTTCGCTTCTTGGAGTCCTCTAAGAGAATGAGTTTAATAATTTCGTTTATGTGTCTGATTAGGTTGTCGAAGTTATTCTGTACATGCAGGATATCGTTAAATAATGAAGCGAATTTCAAAGACATCAGTTCGAAGAGTAGTTTGTCTTCCACTTCGACATCGTTGTTACTCCTCATTAGTAACAGTATGTTGTTAAAATGGACGACCATCTTCATAATTTCGTTAAAGTAATTACTATTTTTTTCGTTTCTCTCTATGATGTATGATTTTATGTCAGCAAGGGTTATATATTTATCTTCCTGATTTTTTTCATTGTTAGTGGAGTTCTTCTCCAGGTTTGGCTCGTCAGAGTTAGGCGAACAGTCAGGCACAAGTTCCTCCTTTGCATTACCATTACGATGACGTAGAATAGCGTTGTACAGCAGTTCCACGTTGGACAGACTAATTTCGTAATTCACATCTGAGGAGGCATCCTTAAATGTGTCAAAGGTGATTCTTTCCTCCTTTATGTTTAGCACGCCTTTGAGGACGTCCTCCGTTATGTAGTTGGTTGTGTACACATCTAGGTTAACGGATTCTTCCTCGAAGGAGAAATTCATGGAGGACGTTTTTTTCAGCGTCTCCACGTTAAATGGGTGCGTCTCGTCTTCGCTCTGAAGATGGCCATGCCCCTGTTCCATCTGGAGCTCCTTTTCTGCCTCTTCCCTCACTTTGTCGACCACTTCGTCAACCACTTCGTCGACCGCTTGTTCCCCCACTTGGGCACTTTCCTTCTGTTCGTTCTTCCCAAAGTCAAAGTACTTGGACACATTCGAGACCTCAATTTGGTACTTGGTAAATATTTTTTCTAACTCTGTGGAGCCGTTCCTGATGCTTCCGCCGCTCTCACTGCAGGCATCGCTTCCGTCGTTGCTCCCCACGTGCGACGACTGGAATACTTCATCCCCTTTGCTCTCGTCCTGCATAGTAGCCTTGTCGGACTCCCCACAACAAGCGTCTTCCACGTCCTTCTCTGGGTTCTTCCCCTTGAGGGGTACGCATAAATTGTTTATATCGCTTAAGTTATACCCCAGCTCAGCATACACCCTCTTCCTCGCCTCATCCGCTATGGAGGTGATATCTAGGAGGCTTTCTTTCTCTATGAGCGAGGGAGAGTGGGATTTCCTGTTGCTGTAGTTCAGTTCTTCGAGCGATTTGTTACTTAATGCTGGTTTGCCAATGGTGCTACTCATGTGAAGTTGGTTTTTTCCGTCCTTGCGTTCACTTTTTCGAGGCTCTTCATCCTGTTCATCCTTTGCATCTTCGCTGAGTGTCCTCTTCATTTGATTGTCACTCATTTCCTGGTCAGAGTATTTCTCAATATAATCATACGAGCTACTTTTCCCAGTGCTATAGGTAGAGTACCTTTCCTGTTTGTCTTCCTCATCAGTGCGTGTGTCTTTGTCCCTAACGGTTTTTTCATCCCTAACGGTCTCTTCATCCTTAATGGTCTCTTCCTCCCTAAAGGCCTCTTCATTGTTATCCCCATGGAAAAGCATCCCATTTTGATTCCTTCCACCACTTAAGTCATCATCTCCAGATGTTTGTCCAAACTGCTTCTCCCCTTTCAATGTTGTCGTGTTATCTAGCTGGTCAGTCGCGTGGCTTGAGTAACACGAGTAAACATTATTCGACTCATTGAAAATCTCCTCCTCTTTACAACTGCTCATATAACAGTAATTTTTCGTATCGTTTTCGTTATACTCTGGAAGGAACATGGTCCTGTGGAACTCGGTCATAAGATTTTCCTTTTCTCGATTTTGCAGCATATGACTGTCCTTCTCTCCAGAGTGATCACTTCGTTTGCCTTCCAGTTTGCCATTACCCGTTTGGTTTACTAACAAAATTGTACTGTTGCCTTTTTCTATGACCTCAGATTTCTCTTCATTAAAATGGCTCAGAAATAGCTTCGAATATTCACTCGTCTTGGATACGAATTCGTCCACCATACTTATGGTGTACTGCATTGGCGATTCCACGCTTTCTTTCCTTTCATTTTGTTCATTGGATGTGTTTTCAGCATGTTCGTTTTGTCTCTTCATCATAGTTTCTTTCTCCGTTGAGTCGTCCTTTTGTCTACTCAGGTGGTCATTCAGTACCCCTTTAATGTCTCTACTCGCCACGTATGAAAGTTGACTTCCCCCCTGTTCTTGCAGCTTACATTTTGTGATATCTTCCGAGTTGTCCTCCTCTACAGAAGAAAACATCGTCTCGAAATGGAGGGGGGATATCCTGTTGGGGTCGTTTTCGCTCTGTTACGGAATGTTCCTTGGGCAGAGTGGCCGATGAAACAGTTTTGATAAATATCGGAGTAAACAATTTATGAACAGCGCTTCAGTATGGGGAAAAAAAAGTCACAGAAAAGGTCAAAAAAAATGCCACAAAAAATGCCATAGAAGAGACCACAAAAGATAGGGCGAACTAACGAGATGTAAATTGACTGAATCTACAACGACATGTCTGGCTCACCCCCTCGGCGCCCGTTGGGCCTTATTCTGTTTAATTTTTAATTCCTTTTGTGGCTTCCCTTTGGAAATACCCTTTTGTGTTACTTGCGCGTGCCGATTTCGTTGTCTAAAAGGGGCACCACGGGGCCGTCGGCATGGTCTAGGACTGCGTCCAGTCTTTTCAGCGGCGCGCTGACGGAGCCAGGGGTGATGTAAAAAGTCAAAATGGTGAATTGGGAAGTCAAAGGGGGATGTGGAACGTCAAACGGGTGAAATGTGACCAAACAGAGGGGCCCTGTGTGGCGGAACAGAAGGGTTATCCAAGAACAACCACAAGGGGGACTAAAAAATAAACATTAAGGGTACACCAAAAAAACTGCGCAACAAGGGGGTCAGCAGGCGAATTTCCGCGACAGGTATGTTGTCAATGCAAAAAAAAAAAAAAAAAACAAGTTTCACAAGTTGAACAAATTGCACAGTAAGTTGTCTTACGAGCATGTCCGTACTCAGAACTGTTAACGTTGTCCAGAATACTGTCATAAAAAGTGTTAGACAGAAAAAAAAAGAAAAAAAAAAGTGAGCGTGAATTTTACAATGTAAGGAAGATACAGAAAAAGAAAACGAAAAAAATGTGCGTCTACAATGAAAAAAATGTCCTCAAAAAGGGGATTTATTTTTGTGTAATTTTTTTTTTTTTTACATTTTTTTGCCCCATGTAATATGCTTAATTTTTTTGTTACACTTAATCTATGGATTTACAAAATAACATTTTAGCAGTTAAACAAAAAAAGTGAAATGCCATCGAACGTTTTTTTCTTTTTTTTTTTGCAGCATATTCTGTATTGTCAACACTGCACAATGTTACATACAGAATGGGAAAATGAAATGACAGAAATGCACGAAAGTGCAAAGGAGTAGAGTCTTATATGGCCGTCAAAATATGTACTGCTTTGTCCGCACCATCTTTGTAGTGTACTTTTTTTTTCTTTTTCATATGGATTGGACAATGGGAACTTCACATTAGGAGGTGAACGCAGATTTATTTAAAATAGAAAAAAAAAAAAAAGGAAAGGGAAAGAAAGGAAGGGAAAATACTTAACGAGGGGGTATATGGTACTCGCGAATGGACCCCCAGAGTTGCAGAATTAAAATTCAGAGCGTGTTGCCCGTCCCTGAAGCTGGAAAAACAATTTCTGTAACTACGCCGCGGAACAGGCGCTGCAGTCGTCGCACCTGCCAAAAATACTTTTTCAAAAGTGAAACAACGTTTTGTTACGCAGGATTATTTTCTGCTTCCTTACCACTGCGCTGCATATTAGTGGTGCCTGCAACGATGGCAGTATGGTAGCCTTTCTCTCTTCCTCCCCCTTTCTTAAACGTTTCAAACGTGTGAAGCGTCTCGAAGGAAGTGTGTATTTGTGTGCGGCGTCAACATGGGGTGGCTAACATAGAGGTTGTGAGGATATCCACGTACGTGTCTGTGTGTGAAACGGCAGTGGTCTGATTTTCCTGTATTTCCAATTTTTAAAGCGAGTTAACTACGCGCACCTTTCACGTTGTTATAGGTAAAAATATTCCCTAAGGGGGAAACATAAATTTAAGTTTTGCACCGATGCGCAAGCACACTCACGAAAATGGCATCTTCGCATTTTTTTTTCACTTAAAGTAGCTCCCCTTTGGGGTGATGTGGGGATACGGAGTTCATATGTCCCATAAGGACCATCCTTTTTTTTGTCACAAAAAAGGGAATTTTTGATCCTGCATTAACGCACGAATGGTTGACAGGAGTGGCCATCCTCAACTTGGTGTAAATTTCATCCCTTTCTTAATAAATAAAAAGTGAAGATTACAATTCGAATGTTTTCAGGTCTGCTAAGGTGTCACGTGGGGCGAAATGGTGACGCACATGTTTATACATATATCTTAGCAGGTGAATTTTACAAAACAAGCAACATTTCCCTTCCTGGTTGTTCCCTTCTTCTTCCTCCTCCTCCCCTACAACACTCCGACGTTGTCACTGCCTTCTCTCAATTGGTAAAATGATAATATCGAAAAAGGGGAATGAAATTGATTCAGTTCATCCCCCCTCCCCTAGGAATTGCACAAGAAAAAAATTATTCCGATGAGGCGACGCATAGCATGGTATGAAACTGCGTAACGAACAAAGTAGTACAAGAGGACACTATTGATCATGGCGCGCCGTTCAATTTGCCATTTTGTCCACCCCTTATACAAAATTTTGATTCCTGCGCAGATTCTATACTTAATGTTGTTCACAAGACTATTCACAACACTGTTCACAATCGCGTGTTGGTAACCCCCGTGCGTGGTAAGTGGGTCAATGGGAAAAAAAAGGGAAGAGGAGGGAATTATAACAGTTGTAAAGTTCTCGCATAGCTTCGCCACAGTTTGGGAATAGCCTCTGTAAACCTGTTTTAATATATTTTTCTCAATGTACTTTTTCGCGCTACGCATTTCTTCGCTTCCTATGCCACTGTTGCTTTACTTTTTGTTACTTCTGACAGGAGGCCCATTTACCACTAGACCCGAAATGGCGAAAGGTGGGAGTTCCTTCTTGGGCTTTTCTTTTTTTTTCCTGCTTTGGGTTGGCCCCCAATGGAGCCGCGCTTCGTAGATACGCTGACACTTTGAATGTGGTTTTTAAGCGCGCCCTTGGGCAATTTTAAAAGGCATCTGCGTCAGAGATTTTTGTCCTGTCAGTTACTTTCTTTCACCGTAGCATTTCTTTTGAGTAAATTTTTTTTTTTTTTTTTTGTGCATTATTAAACGCGTTCTATACGAAAGAAAACACGTGGATACTCGCGTAACGTTAAAGTCACCATAACTTTTTTGTTTTTTTTTTTTTTCAGTACTGATTAACGTGTAAAAAAATATGACATGATATGGAATCGTCCCCCTTTTTTTTTTTTTTTTTAATCCTTTAAATTAACGATAAGACCCCAATTCATGTGAAACGTTTGGAAGCATGGCATCCGAAGACAAAGATGAGTGGAATGATTATTTGAACGCCCTCAAGTTGTCTGAAAAAATCGAAAAATTACATAAGGAACATATTAAAGAGACAAACCAATTAAAAGAATGCAGTGGTCGAACGTCAAACGACTGTGATAAGTCGCATCAGAATGAAAATAAGACGGGAAACGATGCAAAAAAACGCGACTTTATCAAACATAGGATCTACAATTACGATGTTATTAATTATTATAAAGATGAAACGATATTAAGGAAAAAAATAGTGGAATTGTCAGATGATATAATGAAAGCAATATATCACATTTACGATTTGTTTCGCCTTTGCAAGGATAATGTTTTCCTGTCCTTTAATGGAGGGAAAGATGCTGTCGTAATTTTACACCTCTTCAGGTGTGCATATGCTAAATACATACATGATGTGAAGGGGCAAAGGCAAAAACCAAAGTTAATTTACTTTAAAGACGAAGTAAACGAATTTCCAGAAGTGTACCAATTTTTAAACGAATGTGTATATATGTACGATTTGGACCTTACTGTTATTAAGGGGACATGGAAAAGTAGCATTACAAAATTTATAGAAACCTTCCAAAGACAACATCAAATTAGCAGGATAGATCAAGTGAAAGAAAATTTCGTGGATTCTTGTGCATTTTTCCCAACTATAGCATTTATTAATGGCACAAGGTTTAACGACACGAATAGTGAAAACTTACAAATTTTGAATATCAGTTCAAGGGGACTCCCACCATACTTGTATTTAAATCCAATTTTTTACTGGACCTATGGAGCCATTTGGACATTTATTTTATATTTTAAATTTGATTATTGCATTTTATATAATCATGGCTACTCCTCTATCGGTTCAGTCCATGATACGGTAAAAAATGAATTCTTAAAATACAACGATTGTTATTTACCTGCCTATTTCTTGAAGAACTGGGACTACGAAAGGTACAGTAGAATGTCACCTGAAGAGAACCAAGAGGGAAACTCCCAACAGGGTTAATTGGAGGGGCTGTGGGGGGAGTCCTCCATGGGAAGGAGCTCCTTCTTTTTTTATTTCACTAAATGGGAAATGGCGCGGGTGCATCTTTGCTATTCAAGGTAAAAAAAAAATATTATATGGGTAACCACAAACACACACATTTGCAACATTTGGGAGAAAAGATTCTGAACAGTTCGTAAATTTTTTAAAATGTGGTGCTTTGTGAGGTGGAAACTGAAGAACAAAAACGAAATAAATAACTAATTGGAAGAATTAAAAAATTTCTAGTTGGGAGAATTAAAAAATGGCTAGTTGAGCGAATTAAAAAACAGCTAGCTTTCCTTATTCCCCCTTTTATTTGTTTGCTAAATTAAAAACAGAAACCGAAAAGTATCCCGTGCGCACATCATGTACAGCATATGAAAAATTTTGTACTACACCCCAATAAATTGTTTCACATATAAATACACATTTTAGGCAATTTTTTTTTTCTTCATTGCCTTGCTTTTTGATTTATACGTAACATATTTGAACACTGCTCATTTGTGTAGATTTAATTTTTATAGGAACTCGCTTTCTCGACTGCTTTCGCAACTACCTTCGCGACTGCCTTTGCCACTGCTTCTTTTTTTTTTGTGTCTTTTAAAAACTGAGATACGCTTCACTGCCGTGTGTAAATTTTTTCCCATCGGGGGAAAGGATTTAAAGCAAAATTTCAATTACAGATAAAGATGAACATCTTTGTAGACACACAACATCAGTCATAGGACTTGCCCCAATTTTGTGTGCGCAAACTTTCCAGTACATGTTTCACTTAAAAAAATAAAATACTCGCACAGTTAGTGGAGAACGGGACATATACACGGGTGAGGAAGGGGGGTGTGCACGTTACACGCATGCATACAAATGTGTATACTTAGACACTTCTGTCTACTGCAAAAATTACTACATTTGGCAAAAAATGTAACAGCGTAGTACATCCGTGAAGGAGTAAATTTGCTTTCAAATTTGGTGACAAAAAAAAAAAAGAAAAAAAAGAATAGTGACACAAATAGATTACGTTTCGATATGCGCACTTCACACATTGCACTTGCGGAGAAAAGAGGCTTCCATTTTAGCTACTTGCGCCACCGGAGTTGCCATCGCTATCCGAATTGTACTCATTAAGAATGCTCGAAAGGTCCTCCTTCTTTTTAATGACAAAGTTGTAACTCTTTTCGAAATTGTTCCTTTTTGCGCCTTGTGCGGTGCCTACAACTGATAGGCGGCTTTTAAAAATGCTGATGCTGGGTTTGGACATGGGCCCTTCCGTTTCTTGCACGCCATCAGTACTGACCTGGTTTGTTCTCCGCACCTTTATCGTTTCATCTATGCCTTCTTTTGCCGCTTCCTCACTATGAATCTGCCTTTTTTTGGCTCCCTCCGAGAATTCTTTCGTTTTACGTAGGGGGATTTTTTGCAGTGTGTTATCTGTGGCGCTTTTGTCGCGGTTGTTGCTATGCGCGTCGCTCTTATATGAGTCACCGTTGTGGGAATGACTGTTGTGTGGGCCTGCCTCCTCATCGCTGGCCTCCCCCGAGTCTTCCTCTTCTAGCACCTCCTCCTCTATGATGACGTCGTCTTCACCCATTATCGACCCTCCTGGCGCGCCACCGGGATGATTTGCAGCCACCCTACTTTTGCGAAGCAAAGTGAAAAACGCTTTTTCATCTTCTGAATCTAAATTGTTCATGAAAAAATTATTCTTATTATTTTTCATTTCGTTCTTTTCGTACAATTTATCTAGCGCCTTATTGATGCTGTTAAATTTGTCAATGTGTCTTCTGTTGATATTTTTCAATTCCTCCAACTCCTCATTTGTTTTTAATTCCAGCAGAGCATTGTAGGACTCCTTTTCTTTGTTCTTGAGCTTATCTTCTTCTTTGATGAGATTATTCTCTCGATAATAATCATCTGCAATTTCCTGCTCCTTGTGTGCATCATAGGTTCTTATTCCTCCAGCGATTAATATGTAGTCTCCATTTTTTGGATCCGTTTTGAAAATAATTTCATTTTTACACTCAAAGCATTTTCCATAAAATTGCCAAATTGGGATGTTCAGGTAACTTTCGTCTCTTAATTTCTCAACCCTGGAATTGAATTTCGTTCCAACGTACGTGAAGCTTTTGCATTTGTTGCACTTCAGTGTGAAGGGATACATCATTCTGATGTTTAAAAAATGCTTCTTCTTCTTGTTATACTTATTGCTCTTGTTTTTTTTCTTTTCTATTTTTCTCATCAATTTTTTGCTTTCCGTTAATTTGTCCGGATCGAAATCCGGCGGGATGTACTTGTTCAGCACTTTCCGTTCCGCCATGGTTCAGGTGAAGGCGTGGAGTAGGCCAGGGGGCAGTCACAGGGTGGAAGTGAAAAAGTAATTACAGCACGAATGGCCTACGCGAGGGGGTCACTCGTGAGGGGGGAAAATGTGCACAGTAGGGATATCTACATAAGTATATCTCCTAAATCGCCCTGTTGCAGTTGCCTTTTCCACTCCCCTCACGGCCCTGTTGGGCTTATCCGTTCGGTGGGGCGCGGGGGACGTTTTTTCCACTCCCTAAAACAACTGCAAAGGGGGGGGGAGGGGAATTCCCATTTTTTTTCATCATTCGAGGGATCATGAAGAGGGAAAAAATATATCCACCACGGTTATTTCCGCGTGTTAGTTAGGAAAAATAAATTGCTTCGCAACATGGTAAAAAAAAAGAGAAAAATATATATATGAGACGGCAAACTGTTGCATTATATTGCATGAGGGCACCAAGTGGGAAGGGAAACTTTTCCGAGGTGCCAAAAAATAAAGAGGACACTGAGCGGATCGTTTGTTCATTTTTGCTGAGAATCGCCTTTTTATTTTTTCTGCTACGCGTTTCAGCTCCGCCACCCCCCGAAAGGGTATATTTTTCCACACCTTTATTCACCCCTTTGCCTATTGTTCGCTTTACACAACTAAGGGCGGTGGCTGACTGCTCTTTTTTTAAAAAGAAATCCATGGCAGCTTTCTCCATTTTTATCTCATTTCCTTTTTTGCTGTTTCGAAAGCACAAACGTGAAACACGAGGGGAGATTCTCCCAAATGCCGTCGTTTTTCCGTCGCGCACGATGGGTGTGTTTGCGAGCGGTAAGGCGAAAAGAATGGGAACAATAGGAACAATTGAAAGGATTGCAAAAAAATGGCAGTACGTGCAAAAAAATGGGAAGAATTGTCAAAATGGGCAAAAAAAGGGCAAAAAGACTTTTTATCATTTTCTAAAAGTGCAAAAAAACATTCACCGCAAAGGGCTGCCTCGCCACTTCACCCGTCGGTGATGACCAACGCGGTGCACTCGCCATGATGGGCACGTTCCCTACGTTGAGCGCTTCCTATTGATCACTCCCGCTTGTCATTCTGGTCCCCTCTGGGCGTCGGGGCTGTGGCTCCCCCGACCGCGCCCTTCTTCTTACTCAGTTCCTGCTCGCGCTTCCGCTTTTCCTGATGCAGTTGGTTCTCATCGAGCACCTTGACGACGAACTCGTTATTCGGTCGGTCATCGATGAGTATCCCCATGTTTAGCAGACGCTCATCTCGTAGCAAATCGCACTCCTTGAGTAACGTCTCATTGTTAGCCTTCACATTGTTAACAAACTCGGCGTAAAGTAGGTCCTTGTCTTGGGCAGTAGAATTGCTTTCATGTTCCTGTCCGCCCCTTTTCGTGACATCTTTTGTCTCTTTGGTAATTTTCCTAATCAGTTTAGCATTGCTTTGTAGTGTCGTCCGAATGTTACTTCTGTACGTGCCAAGTGTGTGGAGAAGTTCATCAAATTTGTCGTTCTTTCCATTCTTCCCACTTTGCGATTGACCATACACCAACCCTAAGGTGTCGTCCAGTATGAAGTTGATATAATGCTTCAGCTCGAGAAGTAACCCAATTTGAACCTTCTCATTTTGTAAGTATATATTAATTTCGGTGATTAGCTTCTGCAGCGCGAGGATAACTTCAGGTGTGTTAAAGTTATCCAGAAGAGCCTGATGCACTTTGTTCTTTGTTGAACGGAATAGGCTGTTAAGATTATTGTCTACTTCGGTCCAGAATAAATTGGAGTTACTCAGGTGGAAATTTTTTATCTTCATCTCCAGTAATGCGAAGAAGTTAAAGACAAACTTGTCAATCTCTACACACTGAATCATACTTTCTCCATTTGGACTATAATTCATGAAGCTGTCCCATTTGTTCAGTAAGAACAAAATACGAATCTGGTTGGGGGTATACTCACTTAGCATATGTTTTATCGTTATAAAATTTTTTAGCGACTTAGACATTTTCAACCCTTCTATGTGTAAATGCCCCGAATGGAGAAAATAATTCACCCACTGACTTTCGTCAAAGAAAGCTTCACTTTGAGCCAATTCATTGTCATGGTGTGGGAAGCGAAGGTCTATTCCCCCACTATGTATGTCAAGAACGCTTCCTAAAATGTTACTAGCCATTGTTGAACATTCTATATGCCATCCTGGTCTTCCTTTTCCCCAAGGAGAGTCCCAATAAGGTTCATTCGGTTTGGATGATTTCCACAGAGCGAAATCGTACGAATTTTTTTTTTTCTTTGATATGACTCCTAGATCTCCTTCCCCTTCCAGAATTTTCGTTTCATCCTTCACAGACAGTGGTTCCATGCGAGCGTAAAAATGCTTTGGGATCTTTTTAAACTCGTCAATGTCGAAGTATACACTACCTTCTTCACTCACATAGGCATATTTATTGTCAATAATTTTTTCTATATAATGAATGATTTGATCAACATATTCGCTGACCCTAGTGATGGCTGTCGGGAGGAGGACATTGAGCTTTTTCATGTCTTCCCAAAATTCCAATTCCCATTTTCTGGCTAACTCTTTGAAGCTGACTTTCTCTTCTTCGCTCCTTTTAATAATTTTGTCGTCGATATCCGTTATGTTTATCACCATGAACACGTCGTACTTGAAGTAATTCAGGAGGATCCTCCGGATGATGTCGAAGCTGACGTAGGTCCTGGCGTGACCCAGGTGCGCCGCGTCGTACACCGTCGGTCCACATGCATACCACCTGATTTGGTCCTTCTCCTGCGATTAGGGTAGAGTAGAAGCGGTTGTGGTGACACATTTCAGTATTCTCCTCTATTTTTCCCATTTCGACTGGAAGCCCCTCCTCGCGGCTTACCTGAGGAACGAACTCCACCTTGCTGCGCGTCAGGGAGTTGTTCACGAGCAAACCCGTTATTTTCTTGCCTTCCTTGGGCGGCATCTCCCATTTGGGTAAGCTGCTACTCGTCTCCATGCTGCACTGAAGCGCTTTCGCCTTGGCCACGTATCTGCCCGCTTCAAACGTAGAGAGAGACAAAAAAATAAAATAATAAAAAAATAATAAAATTACAGTGGTGTCGTTAGCCACCGTGGAAATTTTCCTCCCCGTTAAACTTGCACAGTACGCGCGCAGGTAAGCGGAGAAGCATGCGCTCGGCACACAAAAAATATGCACAAACACACGGAAAAGAGGCGCAACGGCAGGTTATTCCTCACTTGGGTGTAATCGACTGGGGCGTTACACGAAAAGGTTACAGCCCTTTAGGAGCAAATTCTAAATGGTTTATCTTTAGACATGAAAATGCGTAACCAACCCCGTCTGCCGCAAAAGTGGTCAGCGTGAGTGTTGTGCAAAATTGGGGGGTGAAAATATTCGTTTCGTTTCATTTTTTTTTTTTTTTTTGCTAACATAAGTGAGTATTCCAAAGGGACCAAGAAAATAAAATTACGTGCAATGGGAAAAAAAAAGAAGGACAAAAAAAAAAAACAATAACAATAGCAAAATAAAGAGAAGATCCAACAGTGGGTAAGGTTCACACTTGTGCATCCACCTCCACTTGATGTATAATCTAGTGACGGATGCACATTCGAATTGTATGTGGCGCTGCTAGCAAAATATCAGTCGTTGTGTGTACTATAGGCATGCTTTCATCTGTGCAGTTACATAAATTGGGAATGCGCTTTTGGTCTTTTTTTTTTTTTCTTTTCTTTTCTTACTGTGAAAAAGATTGTACCCCTTGCGATGAAATGAGTTGCGAATAAAATACATCCCCCGGGTGCTCCACGGGGTCCTCCTCTTTGTGAAAATGAGCCTTTCAGAACGGATTAGTAGTGACGGGGAAGTCGTGCTGCGCCCACCGCTGCGCCTACTGCTGCGAATGCTCCTGGGAAACTTTACTGATGCAGAGAAGTTCTTTTTGTGCGAAATGGCCAAAAGGGATGAGCATATCAAAATTAAAAGTTTCATTTAAATTTTTTACACATATATAGTCTGTATATATGCATCTGCGGGGTGAGGGACGTGTAGGGCTAAGCAACGATCTCCGTTTTGCAGCTCTTTGCGCAGAGTTAGCGCCAGTCGGGAAGAACCAACATTGGACGGACTGCGAAGTCACAGTTCTGATCGGTGATCCGTGATCATTGATCAGTGGCCACTGGTCAGTGATCGTCCTCACAGTTGCTAGTGTTATCGTTATAGCAATGTTAATATAGCCCCAAACATAATGAAACATCACGATGGAAAAAAAAAAAAAAAAATCAACTTACCCTCGCAGTGCTGTCAAGTGAAGGGCCGACCGGATTGCCGATACGTATACGGTGAATATATGTTCATATGTGCATCCCCTCCATAGGGGTATGACACTGGCAATACGGCAGAGTATGCGCCTGGGAAATGCAAATAAAACCAGCCGATAATCAAAGGGCTCCCAGTCATGTTGCATAGAATTGTGCAATAGATGTTTTTCCGCTTTATGCCCAAGTATGAGGCAGTTCTCAATTTTGTTAAAGGATTGGCCCCCCCTTTTGCATGTCGTTTTTTTTTTTCTTCTCCCCACGTACAACATGTTTCTGTTCGGTTCGACGTGACTCGCTCCGATTTGCAAGAAAAAGGAGAATCTCGATTGGAAGCAAAGGTGGATGTTCACTTGGAAGCAACGTAAAAAGCAACGAGCAAGCCAACGCGCAACTGCCCGCGAATGTGGGGGCCTGACTTGGGGAAAAATAAAAAAATATAAAATAATAATAGTAATAATAATATTCCGAATTGGCTCAAAGGGGGATGCAGAATAGCTCCACCCCCTGCAGAGCGGATTCAGAAAAAAAAAAGCAGCAGTGCACGAGGGGGGAAAAAACTGCGTACATAATACATACCTAGCGAGGCACATATATATATGCAGATAGACTCATGTGCGTGGAGCGTAAACCAGCACGGGACATATCCACACACATTAGGGAGGAGCCCAAAGGGTGTAAACCACTTGAAGCACTCCAGAGGTGTAACTTATTTGGAGCTCTAAAAAGGGGTAAATTTCGTTCCCCTCTAAAAACGCGTGAGCAACATGGAACTTGAGAAACGCGACTGCGAGGTGGGGGACACAGACGATGGAGACCGAGGGGAGGACAACGCCCGGGTTACGATAACACAGAATAGCGAAAAGGAAGACACCTGCAACGGGTGTGGGAAAACGCTAGCCAAAAAATTGAGTTGCCCAATATGCCTGAAAAAAAAAATCCACAGCTACTTTTGCACACAGGAATGTTTCAAAATTTCGTGGAAAGAACATGTGGGAAAAGTGCATGAGAAGTGGAAAAAGGAGGAACAGGAAGAGAAAGATGCAAAGGAAGAGGAAAGAACGAATCATATCCAAACGGTCAATGCCGAAGAGGAAAAAAAAAAAAAGTTCATGGAAATCATAAAAAAACAATTGTCACCTGAACATTTCGATCCAACGAACAGGAAGTATTGGATTTATGACAAACATTTGAAACCTTTCGTCAATTTTGTATTTACGGGGAATTTGAGACCTTGGCCAATAACAGAAATGAATGCCGTACCGGCACATATAGAAAGACCAGATTATGCAATCACATCCATCCCGGAATCGGAGTTAAAATATAAAAGGAAAAGTGATATATATGTGAATAGCCAAGAAGAGATTCAAAATATAAGGGAGGCATGCATTCTGGGGAGAAGGACATTGGACTATGCTCATTCGTTAGTAGCACCAGGAGTAACAACGGATGAGATTGACAGAAAAGTTCACAATTTTATTATAGAGCATAATGCTTATCCATCACCCTTAAATTATTATGAATTCCCCAAATCGTGTTGTACCTCTGTAAACGAAATTGTGTGTCATGGGATTCCTGACTTGAGACCATTACAGAATGGGGACATCATCAACATCGACATAACTGTTTTCTTAAAAGGGGTACATGCAGATTTGAATGAAACATACTTTGTTGGTGATGTGGAGCAAGTGCCAAAGGAGGCGAAGGAACTCGTACAGACATGCTACTTTTCCCTTATGGAATCGATAAGGAAATGCAAACCGGGGATGTTATATAAAAATATTGGCAACATCATAGATTCGTATGTATCCAAAAAGGGGTTTTCTGTGGTACGTACTTACTCGGGTCATGGGGTTGGAAAATTGTTTCATTCAAATCCGACTATTCCTCATTTTAAAAAAAATAAAGCCGTTGGGATTATGAAGGCTGGCCATGTGTTCACCATTGAGCCGATGATCAATCAGGGACACTACAGTGATGTCTTGTGGCCTGACAAGTGGACCAGCGCCACGTCTGATGGGAAATTCTCGGCCCAGTTTGAGCACACTTTGTTAATTACCGACAAAGGCGTCGAAATTTTGACCAAGCGGTTGCCGGACTCGCCGAGTCTGGGATTCGACACGAGGGACGATTTGTACGACGTGTAGAGTAGCGCAGTGGAGGGTTTCCTCCTTTTTTTTGCTTTTTTTTTCCGCCCTCTGACGCTTTGGGTGTATCCCCATGTTTGTGCTCATTCGTAGGTATTTTTTTTTTTTTTTTTTTATGCCT